CTGGGCTTGCTTGGGATTGGGATCTAGAGGCACCAAAAACAACGCACTTCGTCTTGGTGGGGACACCCATGGTACTTGCCTAAATTTGTACAGGCCACCATGTGAAGACCTGCAATTTATTATGATCAAAGTGGCTAATCCGCTTTACATATTTCACAGCTTCACAATAGTTAACAGGTTCCACCAAAGTGAGAGTAAGAAAGTCTCCGGTTATACAACATGAACTAACCGGAGGAACTAGCGAAAGTGCAAAGTGCCCCCTCCAAGCTGAACAGCGCCCTAAAAACTGCCAAAAAGTCAACTACGTTGCCCAAAATAGTGGATTTCGCTTTTCGATGGATCTTCAATTCTAATTTTTCTTGCCTTTTTTCATTTTCTTGATCTCTCGCGTCTCCCTTTGACAAGTAAGGGGACCCACACCATGACCCAAAAATTTGGAAAACCCTTCAAAATGCCACAAATGGCCCGGTAGTTCATCGACCTCAATCGTTCACCTCAATCGAGTCGACTCTCCTGTTGCCGTGTGGTGCTCAATCGAATCGCGTGCGTAGAGTACCTATTGAAGGGTCACCTTACCCGGGCAATGTTTCCTGCGTTGGCCTTCTTTTGTTACCAAGAGACCGGAAACCCACTTGATACCAGAGAGCCCTCGTCTTTCACCCCACCACTACTCTCTTCAGACACAATCACTATAGACAACAAGGATAAAAGGGCTGCTGAAAGGATAGTCACCCACTTGTTGTGAGTACCATATGATGGGGCCGATTTTGTCGGGTGAAATTTTTCGAAAAACTTCTCATTTCTTAGAATTTGGATTCCTCAGATGTCCATGGTATCGGCATAAAGCTGTGGGATATTTTACCACTGCCCAAATGAGGGTATCAGGCTGGATTCCTTCTCCAAATGGGTAGTGCTCATAGAGAGCTTTTTCCAAGTAACAAAACCTAGATTTTTTCAGACATCATGGCTCGACCGATTATTTGTGGAGCCAAATCCACATAATGATTCCCTGAGGGTTACTGATGGAGAAATGCCAAGTGTCAAAAGAAGTATGAAGAGGGAAAGCCATCCTGATCATTCTCCCGAGTTACCTCCGATGAACTTTTCATTGTCCCATTTTCTCAAATAACAACAGAAAAGTGAGGAACCCGGTAATTCTTCTTGTGGAGCAGTATTTTTTAATATGAAATATTGAAAGTTGAACAGCGTTTGAGTTTTTGAGTCCAGAATATTTTAAAATTCTCTCATAACTTCTTTGGTAGGTTGTTTTACTATCAGACAGCTCCTGAAAAAGGGCAGATCCTCCACAAT